TCGATCCAAGCACGCCGCCTCAAATTGCCTATCCTCTTTGTGGCGGCCATACTTACAGAAACATAATTAAACTTCATGTTTAGTCTGATGGCTTTGCCAAAGCCTTAATAAATAGTAAAAAAATATTAATTACTTCTTCTTGTTTATATAAACAATCTATTTTTATTTTATCCTTGTTTTGTTAGTGATTTTGTTATATAATTATTTACTTGTGTCTTACGTTGATTATGTGCCTTTAACCATTTTTTTTCTTCTGTATATTTCTTTTTTTCTTGAGAACTGTCCGCGAGCGCGCCCTTTTCCTCCGCCCTACCTATGACCTACGCCTATGTTGTCTACGCACAAGCAAACTCTTAGAAAACTTCATACTCGGCAGTGGGACGTATGATAGGTTAATGACAATGACCGATAAAACAACGCGCGTGTGTCATCATTATTATCACGCAAAGACAAAGCATTTTGCACCCATTGCCTTGCACCCTGACCTTGAATCCATTACTACGCCAGTGTTATTAGTTACGTAGTAGCTATTATAAGTAACTTGTAGTATTAGCGGCAATCATACATTGGCCTTTGACATTGTGTTATTATCACAATGATAAAATATAAAATAAATTATTTTTATTTTTCTTTTACATACTTACCTTTCTACCTCATATTGACGAGGCGATACCGAGGGCAACTAAAACTCTCAGTTTTGTACTCCACAACAGGAAAAATTTTATAAATAATTTTATTCTTAGTACCTTGGAGTACATATCTGTTGTGTGGCGTTTTTCTCTCAATGTACTTTGAGTTTCGTATATTGGCGAACTAGGGGATAAATCCGGGTTTGCGCACTTTCTGGTAACCGATTTCAATAAAACTTGGCAAATAAGTGAATTCCACGTACTTTTGAGGTCGGTTTTTTAGTACTCTGTGCTGAGATTATATTTGTTTATATTTGAAGTGTATATTTAATTGAGTTTTTGTCTCGGTCTAAATTGCATGATCTTGGTTTTTATTAAAATTTAATTCTAAATTATGGTCGTTTCGCCACGCTACAGTCGTATTTATAATGTTTAGGATTTCTTCGTTTGGTTTGGTGTTATTGTTACATGAAAATAGCGAGTGAAAAATCATCCGCGAACATAACACAGGTTTCACTTATGACTTTAGGTAGGCCGTTTATGTAAATTAAGAGTACTGCCAAGAACACTACCTTGTGGGATGGAATCCCTCACTTGCTGCATCTTTGACCTAATAGGCCTAATTACATGTGATTATATTTCCGAATATTCAACTTGAATATCTGTGACAGTAGAGCTCAGTAGACCTTACCTGTTTCTGTCGCCAAGCAGTAATGTGAACGGTTACCATGCCGGATTGCCACGCAGAGGTCCCAGGTTCGATTCCCGGGTCGGGAGAAACATTTATCTACATACTATAGCCTACATTTATTTATCTCGTGAGTTTGAGTGTAATTTGTGGTTGTCTATGTGTGTGTCCATGGCACCCGCGACACAATGTTTGCTAGCACGGGGCTATGTTGAATATGTGCGTTATAGTGCGTGCGTTAATGGTTCTTCTTTGTTCTCTCTTTAAATTACTGCGTTCCAGCCTGTACTGTCGTTCTCGATCCTAGACAATAACTGTCAAATAAGTAATACAAATGAAAAGACGCATGATGCGTATGAAGCTTCATACTTAACATTGTCTCTTGGTCGAGTATTACTTATTTGACGCCCTAATGGGCTGGTAGCTGTAAAGGTATCTATCTAACTGGGTGACAAAATGTTGAAAAAGAGTTCTCATAGATGGCGCTACGGCTAAAAAGTCGTTGAAAAACCAAATACAAAGATACGACGCAAGCACATAGAAAAATTCGTGAGGTCCGCTGGTTCGTTCCGTGGCTTAGCTGGTATAGCGTATGGCACGGTATGCTAGAGGACGTCGGTTAGAATTTTTTCTGAGTGTTCGATCTTTGTATTAATAATTATAACAAACCAGTGGAGTCATTTCACATCAAAAATAATTGAATATCAATTCAATAAAAATTTAATTATTTTTAACATACTTCAAAAAAAAGGAGGTGGAGGTTATAGGTTCGGCTGTATGCGTGTTTTCAGATATCTCCGTCAATTGTGGACCTATTTTGAAAATTCTTTTTTTAAAGGGTGCACTCTCGTGTTTGTCTCGTTGTCACCAAGTGAGAATGTAATGAGGGGATCCAGTGAAAATCAAAGGAAATCCTCAAAATTTATAGGCACGTCGGTGTATTCACCAATTTCTCCATCAATTGTGCACCGATTTTGAAAATTCTTCTTTTGTTGAAAGGGTATAACTCTCAAGGTGGTCCCTAATGCTGTTCCAGGTTAATTTCGGTTATTTCAAATCACTAATGATCTCTCGCAAATAAAAGTCGACATTTCACTTGGCACAATACATGTAATCAACAAATCACCGTCATTATGACAATCAGAAAAGAAAATATAAAATATACAAAGGAGTCCGTAACAATGTCATTATCACTAAGAAGCAATGACCTACCAACAAATGGACATCGGGTCTAACTTAGAATAAGAAAGGAATAGAATGATAGTTTCATATCAAACGAACTGTCACAAGTGAGGCAAAAATCAAATTCATGTAGGCTAGTTTTAGTAGTAGGTTAATTTTCGGTTTTAGTGAATATTTATATAAAAATGCAAGTTGAAACGCGTTAGTTCCTTGTGGAATGTGATGTTAGTATCAATTTTATGTTTGTCTGACGTATTTTTACTCTCATTTACCGCACATTTCGTCATTTTTAGCTAAAATTCTTGAGCTGTTCGCGGTGCAAGTTGACCTTGAAAAATATGTCCGAGGTTAACCTATACAAACGTAGTTACATGTAACGAAATATAAAAACCTAAAACATTTAATTTAAATTGTAACGTCATTGCAGTACTGCCTAAATTTGACAACAATTGAAGGGCCCAAAAACACCATATTCAGCTTCTACTGGAAACTTAACAAAATGCACCATATTTAGCTTCGACTGAAATTTACTTGGACACAAGAGTAATGGAATAGCCTTTCTCGTAAATATTAATTAATTTTTTTGTATTTATTATTATGTCGAATTTTGTACAAATTCACTTAAAGGTATAATAAAGAGTTGGGCAGATACATACATACAATTATTACTGCAAATGTGAAAATAAGCATGTACTTATAAGAAATGTACCGATATTCTAACTAAACGTAAACTCAAATATCCGTAATTCCGATTTATAACAAAACCGTTACGCTTTTGAGTAATTTGGATGCTTTTTACATAGACAAAATTAGCTTTTGTTTTGAAATCTTCGTAAAAACAAAACTTTATGAAAATTCGAGCTAATCTTATTTGGGGCAAATGTATTTTCTGACTTCTGATAGGTAATCCCAAGCCCTAAAACGAGTAGAACAATATTTCGTTAGTTATTGCTAACGTTTAATAAAAAAAATCATTTTAAAAATAGGATTAAAATCAAAGCAACTCTACAGTTTCTTTGTTCTAAATATTTCAATCGCTTGTGGTTCGAACAATTGAAAATGACCAAGAAGTTTATATAAGCTTCTTGAAACTCTTGGGTCTCTTTCCATCTTTGGCGCATGCAATGAGTAGAAAAAGGACAGTTAGCTATTTCATTATTACGTGTGCTTTTGTAATTTATATTTACAATTCAGTTATATATAAATTAAATACTATAAAACTGTACAAAATAACACTTTTAAATGAGCACTATGATAATTCAATAGGTTTGTTTATTGAAAATGTGATACAAAATCCTGTTTTCAAAGTTTACTGCAGTAATTTTTACAAGTTATTATTTGTACTGCATATATTGGTACTGCATGATTGACAACCGTGCTGTCACTCGAACAAACGAAGACTATTGCGCGATTGACGCTCTGTATGCGATTTTAACGCCCTACAGGTGCGGACACTTTTTGGCGCGAACCCGACGTCCATTTATTGGTCGGTCAATGCTAAGAAGTCAGAATCTAATGAAGGGATCCCATATAAATCGAACAAATCCGATAAACAAACCCTGAGGCCGGTTTTCTTTTTCAATAAAAAGGTTACAATTATTATATAAATAATATATAAAGTAAGAAATATCGAGATAATAAAAAGAACTCATATCGTGGTAAGAAACCCGTAATTAATGATAATCATTTTCGACTTTACGTCTCAGAGTGACGGGCGTAGTGTCAGTGCCCCTTATAATAATAATAATATCTTTATTTAAAAACACAGCCTTATAGACAGATAATGCATTTACTGATTAGAAATGTAAACACAATAAAATAAAACAAACAGGTTTAAAGGCGTATTAAATCTAAGGACAATGGCTCCTAAACTAGACTAGAAATCTTAGGAGACAGTGTTCAGTTAGGCGGGACTAAAGCACATGCCTGTATTTAATACCGAAGCAGTATAAAAATGAGCCTGAGCGATCTGGCATTGCCCCATATAATAATATCTTTATTTTAAAAAGACACTCCTTGACATTATATATTTATAGTACAGAGAAGAAATTTGCTTATTACAACGTAAATTAAAACAAGTAGGTATAAAGGCGTAACAAATCTAAGGACAATGGCTCCTAAACTAGATGTTCGTTCACGAACCAATCATTCTATGTACATTCACTCGTTCCCTCTCTCTTCATTGTCTTAATTTCACGTCATATTGGCTTTGTATGTTTTCATAACAATTAAATATATTAAATAAGTTCTGCATGGTAAAAATATTGCTTTGAATGAAGTTGCTTCTTTGAATGAACAATCTAAAGGTCCCTGGTTCGTTCCCGGGTTTCGGCACCAAATGTTCATTGCTAAATAAAAGCGACTTACAAATGACTGTATATTAGGAGACAGTTTCAGTTAGGCGGGACTAAAACATGTGTCTGTATTTAAAATCAAGACAAAGTATAAAAATGAGTCGGAGCGATCTTTACTAGGTATTTGATGCTCTGAGTAATACTTACTGCAACAGTTACGGCTCTAGGCGTGTAAATTACCACTAGACCCACGACTTGTTCTTCTCGTCGGTTGATATCACAAAAAAACACAATCCGAACTAAACAATACCCAATATAAACTCAAAAGGAAAAAAAACATATTACAATCAACGAATACGCGCTCTGAGCTCTGTTTGGATACTGAACATCCTGTCTTGCCCTTTACTAGTAATATAATTTTTAAAAACATTTTCCCGCAAAATGCAACATACATTATCTGCTGCAACAACAATTATGAAATTCGCAACAATATGAAACGACTAATGTATAAAGAACTTTGAAGTTTGTTCACACTGTTAAGCGGCGCATGTAACTGGAGATAATGACCAATGATAAAAACAGGTTTATTGTTGTGAGATAACGTCACATTAGACTAGACAAACTAAAGGTTTTCGATCACAAAAACACCCGTAATAAAGATTATGGCTGTTTTTGAACATAAAGATGTTTCGATAATATTGTATTATTTTATTAAAAATTATTTTTTAAATAAAAATTTTAAATTTAAAACTGTTTATTACAAATATTAATAACAAGTTACAGTACATTCAAGGTAGAATCTTAAACTTAAAGATTATTTGTCCTTTTCTAGTGAGTTGCGTTAATATGTAAGGTACAACAATTAAATCAATGACCAGTTTGCGTATGCCTCCTCTGATATTGATCTTCATGTTAAATCTTTTTAATTTGTTTTTGACTTGTATAGACTTTTTATCTGTGTAATTCATTTATAAGATTTTTTAGTAAGCTATTTAATATGTTCTCAACCCATTCACGAACACTTGAAGTAGCCTGGTCTAAGATTTTGCATCCGATAAGAGTACGCAATGTAGATTGCCGAGAAGTTATTTACAATACGTAGCTGACTTCATTGTCATTTTTTAGCGCTAGGAAGTGGCGATTGCTGTGCGGAAAATATTCAAAAATTATTGAAAACCAAGAAACTACAAAAGCATGAACATTTTTATGTATTTGCTTAAAACTTTTTGATATTTTCAAACCGTTACTGAGACTAAGTTTTTTTTTTAAACTGACTTTATCATCTTCATCAAACCGTCCACAAACTTGTCTATAGGTCAAACTGCAAACGATCTTGGTCACTTGTAACGTATGGGGTTAGTATCAATTTTATTCTGAAATGGTTGAAATGTGCAAGAGTACCTACTCGATGTGTTGCAAGAGTCCGCGCGTACTCTTACACAATTTTTTTATAATAGTGAATTTTCACTTCACTAGCTAGGAAAGGCTTTCATTCTCATTAGAATTCTGCGCGCAAAAGCCTTTTTTGCACGCTAGCGTGGAAAAGGTTTTCGAAATTCGAAATTGTCGACGTACTGTGGTGAACCTAACTTTTTCTTTCTATGAAAAAAAAAGATAATGACACGTTCAACTACGCAATTTGTCGTACATTACTTGTTTACGTAATATAAATCTGTTGGTATACATATGTGCCTGGAATACAGGCTGCAAGTGCACCTAAAGAATTATAACACTTTGAGGGTATGTCTCATGCCTAGACTCTTCTCAGCTCTCCGCGAGCAAAAGCCCATACATATTGAAACAAAATCTCATTACCAGAAAGGTATGGTAAGGTGATTCTTGCAACTGATAAACGATGTCTTATAGAAAAAGCTGTCACGTACTCTTGGCGACGCACATGTGTAGGTACACTTACCCAATACTACCCTATACCCACTCAATTACAACCATTTTTTTTAAATATAAATACTTTTCACGTTACCTACTATATAAGAGTCAGATAAGTAGACTGTTAAATAAAACAATAGCTAATTTTCAAACACTTTTTGTTTTCATTCTACACCGTCTCACGGGGCACAGTCAACGCCATGTTGTCTTTTATTTGATAATGGTAGTGCGTGGGCGAGTCAAATTCAATTAGATGTCTAGAAAGTTTCCATACTTGTACGCAATTCATTTACTAAGTTTAAAACTGAATTTAGTACATTTGGTAAGTGGCATATTTTATGACCGTATAAACGTACACACGTGATGATATTTTTTTAAATAATTCAAATTCAAATTATTTATTGCATTCATGTTGTTACAATGGTCTTAAGTTAGATAGTACAGATCAAACATGAACCCTGTAAGGGCATAGCAATGTCAACCCTAAATTCTGAATAAATCTAAATTTGTATTACAATTTTTACATTATTTCTTAATTTGATATTCGATAAAATAAGCAATTAAACAAAATAATAATTATTACTAATCGTCAACAGTAGCAAGCTCATTTTAGTTCTATTTTTAAAGTAGTTTATCGTCAACTTATTTAGAATTTTATAATGTCGTTTAATTTCTCATCAATTTCAAAATTTATTATTACATTTATTATTATACATATATACACATTAATAATTGTACATTTATGTGTTACAACAATTTTAATTAGATGATAAAAATTATTTAGACGATAATATTAATTTCTTATCCATTTCATTTTATTAATTTCTTCATTTACTAACTGCACAGGTGCAGAGAATGACAATGAATCCTCCATCACAATGAACCCCGCAGGGCACAGCAATATAGGAATGAGGCAGATCGACGCTACAGAGATTTATCGTCTAGATATCGTTGCAATGTATAGTATTTTTATTAGTAACAATGTTTTTTAAGTTATTAATGAATATATTAGTTTTATTTTCTTGTTTTATGTGCTCAGACAGTTTGTTGTATATTTTTATTGACATTGTATATGGGCTCGATTTATGCAATTCCAATTTTGATACCGGTACCACGAGATTATTTCCGTATCTTGTTGTATGGCGTCGGGGTTCACCTTTCAATTTTAGTGTAAAATTGTGAGTACTTTTTTATAAATTTGCAAATTTTCAAAATATAAATTGATGTTAGAGTTAAGAGTTTGTATTTTCTAAAGAATTGTTCACAGCTCTCTGTTCTTGGAATATTTGCTAGTATTCTAACGCAGTTTTTTTGTTTAATAAAGAGGTCGTTTACAGTTGTACTATTTCCCCACAATATGATGCCGTATGATAGCCATGCGTAGGCGTACGCGTAGTATTTATTCAGGGCGGTTTGTAAATTAGTAGTTATCGTCGACAGCGCAAGAGGGTAGACAGATATGTCTGCTCATAAAGCTGTCATCTGCCGCCGTCCAGTCAACCCGTGACCATGGAGCGTGCAACCGTTCCGAAATATCGGGAAAATAAAAAGAAGTCATACCGTGGTAAGAAATCTGATACTAGTGATAATCATTTAGTTAATAACCACGAAAGTCTTAAAATCATTTTGTGATTCATCAAATATATTGAACTTTTCACAGAATGTGCATGAGCGGTTACACATTACCTTCTCAAATACTTTTGAGGCCGCGGGTAATAATGCGATCGGCCTGTAATTACTCGAAATTCTCGTTAGTACTAGGAAATGAAACTATTTTGCCGGATTTAAATCGCGCATATTCGTTTTTTTTTTTCAAACAAACCAACGTTTCAGGCCCTTTACAGGTCCCATGGTCACGGTTGACTGAGGTTGTACAGTCATCAACCAGTTATGGCTAATATTAATGCAAACCACCCTATTTTTTCACTATAGTTACAAAAGTTATTAATTAAATACCTTATTTTTAATTTTACAAGGAAACATTTCAATTTACGCTACATTATGTTTTACAAATAATTTTATTTGAACAATATGAATTTTTATTAACTTAAATTTATTATTAATTAATAATGGAAATTAGAATAAATGAAAACATATTAATTATTACTGCAGTCTTATGTCTGTTTGGAATCTTTTATCAGAGGAAATACTGGAGGAGAAACCCCTGTTGAATTCTCTTGTTGAAATCCCCTGTTGAAATCTTCCCTGTTGAAATTAGGACGTTTTTTTAATCTCAATGGCCTCTCGCAGCAGCATACCGAACTTCTTTTGCAAGGACCTGGGGTATGTCAAACTTCCTTGAATGTGTATAGGTTTATCCATGACATGCTCGCAGACTGCAGACTTGTTTACGCGACGGTGTTTGACATCAGCTATAGGTATGTTCTTTGGCGCGGGTACAAATACTTCGCTTCGTTTGTCATATATAAAAGAGCCCCCACTCGCACTCACTCTCGTGTTTTTTCGGCACTTCACGTTTAGTTTTTGTGCTACTGTAAACCGGGGAAACTTAATGCGAAATAAAGAATTTTATAATGGAAATGAATCTTCAGTACAGTTAGCGTACACCCCGGACACTCCACACAACGGTAGAAACTTACAACACAACTTATTACTACTACATATGGCAAAGCGCTGTCTGAACACGCGCAAATGTGTGCGTGAAGTGGTAGAGTTACCCATAACTTTTTTGTACTATTTATTCTCTGATTTAACGTGCATAGTGACCTTGTTGTTGAGAGAAGCAAACGAGTAGCAATAGAGCTTCTTGTGAAAGAATTAATCCAGTAAAGTACTATCAATACCTATTTCTGCCGCCAAGCAGCAATTTGAGCTTTACCATATTTGAAATTTGTGAAGATTTAGCATATTTGAAGGGTGCTGGTGAAATCACAGATATATAGGACTTTTCAACGTATGTCTCAGGGTGACTGGCGTAGTGACAACGCCCCTCGGATCTTTGTGATTCAGACTTGGCGGCAGAAATAGGTAAGGTGGCAGTATTTCCCTGGACGAACTCTGTCAAAAGGTACTCTACTGCTACTAAACAATATATTATAAACATAATGTATACCGACGCCATGATTGAAGTGTTAAATAAACTTTTTACTAATTTAAAGTACCCGAACATGTAAGCAACAATGCTAGTCCACTCCTACAATGTCCATATGGACACCAATTCAAATTAATATAATGGCAACATTTAATGTTTTTTTTTTGTTATAGTAACTCTTTACAATTACTGTTAATAGAGTCGGCTGACTGGCCAATGTTTTGCAAATGTCTTTAAAAGGTATTTAGAATTTTATTAAAATATTGCCAAAAAAATAATGTTGACTCATTGACTTACAAAGGACGACGAGTCTAAT